CCCGCCCCCGCCTCCCCCCCCTCCTCTCGGCTTTTCTCTCTCTCGGCCGCTAGATGTCGCTGTGTTGCCCAAGCGGGAAGTGCTGTTCATTTGTAGAAGTTCCTTCAAGTTTCTAAGACGGTGAATTAAACGTTCGCCCTTCCTCTCTGACCGTCTTCTCTTTCTCCCACCCTTTGTTAGGCAGGTTTTTTCTCGAACGTCCTGACTCCTCTCTGGGGTTTCCTTCGGGAGTCGCCCAGCCCCCTCCACCCTCCGCGGGCAGAAATTCCCCGTTAAGAGGGTCTCTGCTGCCCTCGGGTGGCCGTCGGCTGTCGCACAGTTCCCCACTCGCCTTGGAGGCAGAACGTGAAATGGCCAGGCAGCCTCCAGGAGAGGTGCGGTCTCCAAGGAAACAGAATCAATCGGACATATGAAGAGGTTTGTTGTAAGGAACTGGCTGACAAGACACAGAGAAGACTCTCCACGAGGCTGGCACGAGAGGGAATTAGTTCATCAGTGAGATGGTTAAAGGTGTCAGGCGCATCCCTTCTCTCCGGGAGCTGATCTTTTAGTTGGGAAGTTCGCACACCCTTAGGACTGACAACAGCCAATGTCAGCAGAGCGTCTGGAGAAGGTGGCACGGGGGAAGTGTCGGGGTCGGGGAGCTGCTGTGTTCGAGGAGAGGAGCGGCGGCAGGTGTGAAGTCAGAGGGCTCCGGGGAGACTCTGTGCAGAGGAGCTAAAAGGCAGTGACAGCCTCAGGACCCCCCACATTTGCAGGGGAGCTGTGCAAAGGTTTGCTCTCTTTGTACCCCATACTAATGTCCTGTGGCTGCCAAAACCAAGCACCCCACTGATTTCGTGGGGGTGCTTAAAACAGCAGAATTTTTGTCCCTTGCAGTTTGGAAGCCAGAAGTCCCAAATCAAGGTGTCTGCGGGGCTGCGTTCCCTCTGTAGGCTCTAGGGGGGACTCTCCCTGCCTCTCCCGCACTTGGTGTTGCCCAAATCCTGGGCGTCCCTTGGCTCACAGCTTCATGGCTCCAGCCTCTGTGATTAATGGCTACTTTCCCTGTGTGTCTCTGCTTCCTCTTCTTATAAGGACACCAGTCATGGGACCCTGCGGTTAATGGCTACTTTCCCTGTGTGTCTCTGCTTCCTCTTCTTATAAGGACACCAGTCATGGGATCAGGGCCCACCCTAGTCCAGTATGAGTCATCTTAGCTAACTACATCTGCAAAGAGCCATTTCCAAATAAAGGTCACATCCTGAAGTTGTGGGGGACAGGCGTTTTGGGGGACACTATTCCACCCAGCACAGCCCTGAAGAGTGAAGGGAGCTGAGAACAGAATTTTAATGAGTGCCTGGCCCCTGTCCCTGCGCCTTCACCCCAAACCAGGGACTTATTTCTCCTAATTAGGTATTGTCACAATCCCATTTGACAGGGGAGAAGACTGAAGCCCAGAGAGGTCAGGTGACTTGCCCCTGGTCACACAGCAGAGCTGGGGTCTGGGATTTGAACCTATGTTTAGCTGACCCTAAAGCCCTTGCTTTTATATATGCTGAAAACAACAACAACAACAAAAAACCTTCTCCATTATGAAAACCTGCAAATATATACAAAGTAAAGAAAACGGTGTCATAAGTCACCTAGCAGCAAGTCACCAGCATTCTCCCATTCTCACTTCGTCAGCGCTCTGCCCTCTTCCCACCCTAACCCCTTGATTTTATTGTTGCTTTTTAAATTTTTCTTTTAAGTAAAATGTATATGCATCGAAATGCAGAAATCTTACAATTAGTGAAACGTATTGTCCT